GTTGTCTTTGGATTTTTTGGAGTAAAAAAGAGAAGAGTGAAAGTTAAACCTAACATACATCATACCATTAAAGCGCTTTTCATATTTTAGAGTCTGGATGACGTTTTTCCTTTACAATATTAGTAAGTAAATAAAGCATTTACTTTACTGTATTTACCTAAACATAGAGAAAATTAACTTTCCTACCCCAGGAGTAGAGAGATGTATTAATTCTAAGGTAGAAATGAATTCCAAATTGATTTTTCAATACTGCTGGCTTTGTGCACCCAACTGTTCCCCATCCTTAGGCACACATTGAAACTTAAGTAACTTGTTCTATGTATTCTATGGATCCATCATATTTTAAGTTTATTAGTTTGATAACAGAATTACCAAATCTCCTGATTTGGCCAAGAGAATCCTGGTTTTTTAGTTTTTCCTCTAGTGAAAAAATCGGCTGGTACTGGGAGCTGATTTTCAAGAATTTCTACTAGTTTCCATTGATTTTTGTTCTGTCTTCATTACGACTCTTTAAAAGATCTACTATCACAATATTATGTTAGATACTGTAAAGAACAGAATGAATAACTGCTAACGAGATGTGACTAGTGGTGGATGAATTTTTTAGGCGCTAAAATATACCTCATTTACTAAAATCAGTTCAATTTCAGTTTTCTATATCGGTCTCAAATGCTTTTTTTTGTTACTATTTTTGGTCAGATGAATTTTTTGTGGGATAATGATCGAAGCAAGATGAAAAATGACTTCAAGGGTATAGAATAATATGACTATCTCTTACATATATTATATTTGTTGAAACCAATCCGATCATCGATAAAATACGTTTATCTTGTATTTAGTCGAAAGCAAAGATAATGGTGCGAATGAAGTTGGAATAATGAGTACTTTTCGACATTTTTATTTTCGACCAAATTCAAGATAATCAAAGTGGTGGTTTTTCTGTCTCAAAAAAATATCACCAAGTGCTTTTTGGTTTTACAGAAAATCTTCTTGTTCTTCTCTTGATTTCATAAAAGAAAACTACTGGTGAACTACTCTTTTTTATGCGGAGATCATCTAGTTTCGAAAATATTGATTTGTTAGCCTTGTTTAACAATGAGAGCTTTCTACTGCCACGAATATGTTCAATCTCTTTCACGAACACTACGGAATTATCATTGTTAGAGAAATCTTTTTGCGAAAGAAATTAAAAGATGTGCCAAAACAAATATCCATATCTCCTTGAACTTCACTTTATACTAGAGTAATAATTTTACTGATTGCTCCTTCTATCGGAGACATCTCTTCTGGGAAGAGTAGAAATCGTTCAATGTTTTCTAAAGGAAAAATGTTGTCAGATATTAATTTCTGCTTGTATTTTTCTAGGGTAAACGACTTCTGCTAGCATGGGAACAGTTTCACAATTTTTGGGGATATGATCCAGTTCTTAATTCGATTAAGACTGATACTGTTTCGTTGCTCAATACTGAACACAATAGATGAGAATTCATTTGTAGATTGCCATGCAAAGGCAGATTCTAATCCGATTCAAATTTATGCTGATCCACATCAGACCCAAAACCGTTGTGTCTATCATCAAAATTTTTTTATTAATGTTTATTGGAAACTGGTTAGGGTCCCTTTGGAGGAATAATACGCACAACTCGAGTTCATTAACACTTCAATCACAAATTCAGACAAGAAACGCTGCTGGATCTCCTAGGTTGCATTTAAAAGTCAATAAAAACGTAAATGACTGTCAATCATGGTGTGAAAGTTCACTTGCAGAATCTATTACTGCCTTTCCCATCGAAGGATCGATCAAAAAAGAATGGAACAACGAAATTGTTAATCTGATACACATTGGTTTTATTACAGATGGTAACAATGTACAAGAAATAAACACAGCTCTCAAAACACTTTTTCTTCACCGACAATCTTTAGACTTCCTTAAATTTCATATTCTCGCTCCACAGTCACATTGGTCTCTGATTAATGAGACACTTGAAGTATGGTACAAGATGGATAATGGTTTGGTAAACTCATTTGACCATACTCTATACGATTCAGCAGAATGTACAGGCATAGCAGATGTTTTTCAGTCCTATTTTGATAGTGTGTATCGCACTGCATTTTGTAAATTAGTTTTTCCCTATTTACTTGATCCATTTCACGTACCTTATCTACTTTTGCTTGATTTTGACATTGTTATTCTAAGCAATCGCTTTACAAGTGACTGTTGGTTGCAAACTATCAAGACACTTGAACAACATTCTTCGGCAATTTTTACGTTAGCTCATCAGGGCAGCCCGATTACAAAACGACTTCCATTTCCAATGCCTTATTTACAAGAGCACAGGGCTCACTTTCATTTTAACAATGGTGTCATCCTCTTTCATATATCTCGCATTCACGGACTTGATCGACTGACACAAGATGATACTCCACTTTCAGCCGCATATCCAGTAGCAAGTGGTCCTAGACGATGGCTGCGCGATTTTCAGCAGGTAGCACTAGGATATCTTGAGAGTCGTCAGGCAAAACACTCATTGACTCAAGTTCTTTGGAATGTTTACATCGCTCATCGGTCTCACAGTTTCGTTCGTTTAAACCAGGCCTGCAATTTCCAACCATGTGCACAGCAGACTTATGTTCATATGTGGGATGATTATTCTTTGTTTCCGAATATCATTATAAGTCATCTATGGAGAGTATGCAAGAAAAGTCATATCAATAACAGTAACTATTTTACTACTTACTATCAAGCATTATCTTACCTTCCAATTAGCTATGTAAATCGAATAAACCCTACCAGATTGATTAAAAACGAATACTAGCGTAACTCAAACTCTTTGATAAATCTTCTTGCAAGATCTGTGCAGAAAGCACGGAAGTGATCATGCAATGAATTCGAATATGTTACACAAATATCTGTTTAAGAGCTTGGGATAATCCTCTACGAGGCATTGTACGTGAGACATGACCACTTTAAGCATAACCTTGTTCAATCAATATCACCAATTTGGGTGATATTTTTATAGTAGGTAGACTTGGTAAACTTAGGAAGAAAATTCAAAATCGTAGCTCCAACGAATGAACTGTTCCCAACACATAGTGTCTGAAAGTATTGGTACTCAGCCAGAATTTCAAAATTTTTTAACAGTAATACATTTCAATAAATTTTCATTTTCTAACGAACAATAGAAGTTACCGACGAGATTTTTTACCATAGATACTATTGACTAAGGGCTATCTTTCGAGAGTAAAAAATTACCGCATCCTAGAATAATTTTTGCTTGGCATCATATACCATCTTCAGAAAACACTCACGCAGATAAGGTAAGTTGGTCGGATCAGCACGGCAAAATAACTTGAGAATAATTTCATTCGAAAGAGCACATCAAAACTGTATCAGACGATGTTTTCAAAAATTTGTAGTATTGAATTTTAGTATAGGAACTATTTTCAATAATAGTTCATTATTTTTATCAAAAAACGCTTATTTGAAAAAATAGTTATTATCGATACTCGTCATTGAAAAAATAATGATCTATTCTAATAGTGTGACGCTCTTGATTGACCTAATTGTGTGTTATTAAACAAAGAATCTTTATTTCTCGTCGCAACATCAGAACACCTATTTTTCTCTAACCATATCATTATTGTTATATTTTTCGAGTTGCATCAATCTACCTTTTCTTATATGCCCACTGTCTTCCTCTAGATACTTTTTTTCACTTGATTCTTTTTCTTCCGGTTGTATATAAAAAGCCTATGTCTTCAATGTATTCGACACGATTGGTGATATAAATAAAGGAGGATAAAACATAAGTCTAACGAAAATAATACTGTTTGTAATTAGAAATTGTTACAACTTTCTAATAAATTTTCTCTCGATCAAATCATCTCACTCCACATTGAACCTCTTGACATTTCAATCGGCACATTTGTCAATCTTATATCGATCTTCATCGTCTATAGAAATGAACGGGAGGACAAATGACTAATTATAATCAATGAGATCAGAAAAAAGTTTAATAAATACTGTGGAGACTAGAAATCTAATTGATAAATTTTACCTACTACATACAAGTTTAATAGTGTTCAAAATAATGAAGAATCTTCGAAAAAAAATACTTTGTTCAATTGTGATAATCATAAGGTCAGATTTGGAAACCTCTAACAATACACTGGCAGATATTTTGGTTCTCACAAGCTCAAAAAAACTGAAAATGCCAAAGCAGATAGCACAAAAAATTCTTCTAATAAAACTTGTCAAAATTCGAGCGAAAATAAAACATTTGCTGAGATATACTATGTAATGTTATGTAATGCATAACCGGATAAAGTATCTTATTACATTTTTCATTGTTGCATTTATTTAGATTTTTAAACTGTTTCAACCGAGAAAAGTTTACATTGTTTCCTCGCCCGCAGGAAGGGTCATATGAAATAAAATGTATTTCTGTGTTTGTTTGTAGCCACATATAGGATCTTTTGTATATAATCGCGAGGCTCTTCCACAAGTTTGACTAACAGTAAACGCGACGTATACACCTGTGGCTGTGATTGGTTTTTCATCGAAAATTTTGAATGCTGTTTACCTGTCGTTAAGAAAAGTAGTTTTTCTGGATAATAATAATGTGAATTTAAGTAAGAGTTAGGTAGCAAAAGTTAAATAATTTAATATACAAGCTTGTTTCCAGTGATGTATCAAGTGAGCGTACACCCTAGGTTTTTAGAACATCGGATACAGTTTATCGGATAAAGTATCTTACTTGATTGTACCTCAAGCCAGAATATGAGGTAGCTGCTAGGTCATCAGTTTGTTCAGGTTGGATTTTTAGCCAATCCCATATTATTTCACTTATAATTTTCATCCAATCATAGTTTTTATGATTTATGATTGACAATGAGCGAGGAACGTAGGCTTTCTAGATATCCTTATCGGTGTTCGTTTTTACCTGATTGAGGTTTAGGAAATAGTTCGTTTTCGGCACTTATCTTATATATGTTTTGACGCAGCATATTGTGTCTGTAGATAGTTTCACTCGAATCCTAATATTTTCAGTGTCCAGTGGAAACTCCTGTCATTAATAACCCAGTAATTTTGCAGAAGAGGACAAGCTGTTACTTGAACAGTGTCTAAATATAAGTGGATGACTTTTCCAAGAGGTAGACTCGCATTTGATCGATTCAAGGAAAAAACGTTTTAGAGCACTCTAATATATATAGATACACTCTGTAACGACTGAATCTTGATGGTGTAGATGTGGGTGTTCATCTTCTCTTCATCTATATCCCATACCCACACCCAAACAGCAGATGTTGGTTATGTTCGAGTTGCCACATAAATAAATGGGCGATTAACAGCTTTAGTCATTGGTTCACTCATTCATGACCGATTTGGACTATATAGAAACAAACAAACACTTCTTCTCGGTGTCGTCGCCGGATGATAGAATATAGGACATATAAATAGTTGATAAAGTTTGACCAACGCAACACAAATGAACATAAAACATTCATGTGTTCAACTAATGGATATGCCTGATGAGATACTTCTGTTCATTTTAACCAAATTTACCAATATTGAGGTCATTTATTCCCTAATAGGCGTTAATGTAGAACTTCATAAAATTGCAAATGATCCTGTCTTTACGAATCATTTAACATTAATGAAACGTTCGTCGAATAGTGATATCTATCCATTGGCTAAATCAATCCTTGATCGCTTCTGTTTACAAATATTGCCTAAAATTCAACATAAAATCAAGTGGCTCAACCTTGAATCATTATCTATGAAACGTATTCTTCTAGCTGGCTACTATCCTAACTTACGTGGATATTTGGTCTTTTTATTGTTGAATCTGAAACAGTTGCACATGTGTTTGTTGGTAAGAATCTTAATTTTGATTGATTTAATCATTAAAATATATAAAGCACATGAAAATGAACATCTCTCATTCTTACTACAACTGAATAGTTCATTGTACAATGTTTATCGAAAACAATTTCAAGTTTATATAAAAACCTATTAATATAATGGTAGCATTAAGTCTTATGTCGAATGTAACTTACTCTCAAACTCCGATTTGGAAAGAAAACTGCAATTTTGTCTCTTTTATTACTTTTATCTATTTAGAGGAAGGTCATTTCGGGCACATTGTAAAAAATCGTATTTCGACACTGATCATCACATTGTCTGCCAATGAGAAAGAATTATTCAGAACGGATAGAATGAAGACAATTTATACTCGTGTCTTTACTATATTCAGCAATTTAATCTGTTTAAAGTTTTACCCATATTCTGATATTTACATTAACTTCGTTGAAAGATTGTCATTTAATCATCCAAGAGAATATGTATTATCATTTTCTTCTTCAACTTTGATGAAATTATATATCAATGTTGAAACGTTCAATGACTGTCTTTATCTTCTCGATGGTCGTTTCAAACAACTTCATACATTCTATGTCAATGTTTTTATCTCTACTCCTCCATTGCCAACAATTCCTAACAAATGGGTTATTTTGTTTAAAAGAATCACTAAAATTCTTTTATTTTTCTAGACAGAATTAATAAATTTAAAATGTTTTTCATTAACTTGTGATATAGGCATAGGCTTTTACGAAGAATCGCTTGTGTCTCTCCTACATCGAATGTCGAATCTAGAAGAACTTTCCTTGTATACCTCGATATGTCCTTGTAGCCATGGAAAAACATTTATTGATGGAAATAATTTGAAGAAGGATATTATTTGTCATATGTCAAAGTTAAAGAAGTTCATATTTAGTATCCATTCAAATATATTGATTGATTATTCGATTTCTTTACCATCAAATGAAGACATTCAACGTANATATTTATCGGAATATAAACCAGCAAACGACGTAACATCCATTTCAATAGCAATTCCCATGGTGAGCGACATGTGCTATATAATACCATGGAAAGCCATGAAAAAAATTCCTCAATGCAACTTACAAACAAGACAAGACAAAAATGAACGTGGAACAAACACAAACGTTATACAACAGCAGGAAAGAAAAAATCATACAATACACCCACGAAATAAACGATTCATCATGGACATTATTTCAATTGCCATTGGAACAGCTTCGACGGCATTATCAGCCGCCAACATAATACAAATGAATAACCTACAGAAGGAAGTAAAAGCATACAGAACATCGATCCGCACATTACAAAACTCAATGAACGACCACAACATTCAACTCTTTCAACTGACCAAAGGGCAAGTTAAAATTATAGAAGAACTTCATCACACACAGATCGCCCTGAACAACACCATTGTTTTGGTAAATGAACATTCAAATGTACTGCAACAACATCAAATAGCGATTCAAACAATGATGTCAATGATGAGGCTCCTCAGAAAGGAGTTAACAGCTGTGACTCACGCAGTGGAAACTCACTTCATCCACGAGACCATCGAAGACATCTTCGCTAATAAACTTAATCTAAGATTTATACATCACTACGACTTACCACGAGTTATACAAATCATTACAGAACAAATCCATATAAACATGGCGGAAACGGACGATACACTTCCAATATTCGAATTGATTAATCGATTATTAATACAACAACGAATTGAATTCATTCCAAGCAACATCAATGAATCAACAGAACGAAGTGTGATCGGTCACCTGTTATTTACATCTTTTTTTGCATCATCAAACAAGAACCAACAATCATTCTCAACATACGAACTCATCCCAATACCTTTTAACCAAGGAAACCAGAGATTAAAAACTTGCACAAATGCCACATACTGTTAGCATCTCAACCAGAACATTAGAACTAATTAAATGGACGAAAGAAGAAAGCAGTTCATGTCAATTTAAATTGCTATCGTCCTGCCGTGAAACTCCAGCAGTCCAAAAGAAGTGGCAGAAGACATGCTTATTCGAGATAATTACAGACTCAAACTTGACGTTATGTCGCATCGAACTCGAACCTGAACCAATATTTANAACCAATTAAGTTCATGTAATGCTGTAACTTCAATTTCAGCAAAACGATTATCCCATTCACCAAATATAACTTTTTTAAATAGATCTGATATTTCTGTAATGTTCTTATTTTGAATATGAGATTCTTGCAATAATAATGCTAGATCTCGATATGATTGTGGTTCATCCGATCTCAAATTGGCGGTATGTCGAAAAATATTCTCGGCTAAATTGAAAAGACCAAGTTCAACAAGTTTATAAGCAACAGTTCGTAATAATTGCGGTGATTCCAATTCTAGCTCTAATACGTTTGTTAAAATACGTAAACCCAAAACTTTATATTGGTTTGTACTGGAACTACTATCATTACTGTTGCTGTCAGTTTTTTTTGAAAATAATTGAATATCAAAAATTGAAATTGAATGATGTTGGTTAAATTTATCAATTAATGATGGCTGTGGTATTAAAGAACTAGCTTGTAAGAAAAAATAGGATGCTACATCAAAATAAAATGAAGGTGATTTAGAATATGATTGACGTTCATTTAAATAAATCTGATAAGCTGTTTGTAAGTTACTGCTTGACTTAATTTTTTCCATGTATGGTGTGGTTGGATCCCAATTTTGAACAGTAATTGTATGAGTACTACTAATAGTAGTATTATTATGATCACTCGTCGTAGATATATCATTGCGATAATGTTGAACTTGATTGTATGATCTTGACTGACTAGCACGAGAGTACCTTTCAGGAGTACATTCGTTCATATCGTCATCATTTGAAGACATTGCTGCATAGTTTCTAGATCGAGCCGAGTGTGATTTACACAGATATTGAGAATTCATGTGTACCAATGATGCATATTCCATGGATTCCTCCATTGCGTCTCGACTTTCTCCAAAATGTATGCATCTCCTAGAGTTTGAAGAAGCTTGCATTCGTCGTCGTGTGCTACGATCTTCCATATCATATCGAGTAGATTTTTTCTTTTTGAACGCATTGCTACGGTTTTGGTCGGTTATCGTTTTATCATACCATGTGCAACGTGCTTGCCATAAACTTAAGACAGCTGTCATTTTTTCTTGACTTTTCGTGGATTCTTCTTGGTTTTTATTCTGTTGATATTTCATATAATCATTGTATAATGTTGTACGTGATGGGTGTGGACATATTTTATGCTCAATATGTTGTTGTAATGTTTCTAGGACAAGTATGGATGTAAAATTATTCACAATTGAATATTTCATACCAATATCTAAAATACGCTTTTTATTTTTTTCTGGAAATGCAGTTAATTCAGTTAACATTTGTTTCGCATATAAACGACGTAATAATCCATAGTTTTCAGGTGTTGAATCTGCTCTATCTATTATCAATTCTTGACGATGTATTTGATTTGAGATAGAAAAATTGATAGCAATCTTAGCTGAAGCTGTTGATGACATTTTTCCGACGAGTATAAATCTTTCTGCATTTGGTATTAACACAATTGAATGACTCGGATAAATATCATGAACATTTGCATTAGTGATGATATCCGTACTTATATATCGTGCTTGTGACTTATCAACCCATTGAACGATATGGTTTGCACTATTTTGATCCAAGATTTTGTCACGCGAAATATAACCGTCACCGCTGACATTAGTTAAATAATTAATCAATGAAAAATTTGTTGGTTCATGTGTCGAATTAGCATTAAATATCCAAAGTGGTTTTGTCGTTAATTGATTCAACTGTGTCGAATCATCACTACCAATAGTCGAAAGACAATCACTAAATAGAAAATAGTGTGTTATATTTGGAATAATCGTTGAAATTGTAGCTAGTTGTAATAGATTTGTTGCACCGTCATATGATAGATCGGTTAAAAATTGACTAAGTTTTGACCAATAATCTTTATTATGTAGTGAAAATGTGTTCAATTCTTCAAATACATTTCGAAATACAATTACAGTTATGTTCACATTGATACCATTGGATTACCAAATGTTTAATATATTCTTGAGAATATTTATTTCATGATTACGATTTTCAACATTGGCTCGACTTAAACTTGCATCCCATAGTAGACAAATGGACATTGCTTTTTCATTATTATCTATCATTGTATTGTATTGGTGGAATGGTGGCATATAGCAAAGAGCAAAATAGGCTTGATTACGATCATCAGAATCAATTTCTACACTGTAAATGGCTTGTTCTGGTGCTAAATTTCTTAACATGTATGTCATAGACTGTTCACCTTTCAATGGTTTAACATTGACTAGATGAAGTTCAGAACAATATTTTCCCTGTGAATTGACAAAAGGCTGTTGAAATTTAACATCTGAAAGAAATTGTGGTTGAGAATGATTTGAAGTGTGTGTACAAATTAATGAAATATCTAAATTGTCGAGAGTTGTAGTAAAGTAGATTGGAATATTGAATAGAAAATTATCATTTTCAACTTTTGCTTGATCTTGATAAATGACACGTACTATTCGTATACCTCCAGCTTGTATCGAATAAACTCTTGTACGAAATAGATTTCCTTGAACCATTTCGACTAGTCCAGGATCAACACCTTTTCGAACTTCTTTTTCGAATGTAATACGAGCTTTTTCTTTTTCAACAACAACCGTCAACAATTACACCATCAACATCAAGGCCTACGATAGAAAATATCAAATTTTTATTAATGTTCAATTATAAAACTGAAATTCTTATCGTTTACTCTTGTATATCATAATTTCATTCCCGTCATGCTATCTATTTAACTCACCGAATCCGCAAATTGTAGCTTTTTCAGCTAGTGTAAATTCCAAAGCTCCTTCTAATACTCGATTTTGATCATTTTTAAATACCATTGTTGTTGCTACTTGATGTATGAGCGGAAATGTTGCATTCACTTGTTGTTCGACATGCAATTTAATCAATTTCAATGGTGTAGAAGCAGCATCACCAAATTTCGTTTGACGACCAAAATACATTGGAAACGATGAACGACTATTATTATCATTGAAGTGTAAGGCCATAATGGATACTAGACGTTGTTTTAAGGTATCATAATAAATTTAATGATCTACTAGACAGAAAATGAGAAGCAACAATGTTTGACATGAATAATTGAAACAAAGAAGAATTAATAAAAAGAATCTTCTATTTTGAAAAAATAAGAAGGTAAACAAACAATTGTTTGATTTTTGTCTATGCAAAAAATTCACTTTAAACTGTGACTGATCACAATTTGAAAAGTCACATTTCTGATCAGCTAATGTTAACCATACGGAGCAGGCCATTCATTAGGCATTTTGTAAATCGTTCATAATTATGGTTATCTATGTTGTCATTTTAGACGGTTTGGAACAACCTCAAAAATGGTCAGACTTTTGCAACGTCTTCAAACTGTGATTCTCAACCATTTTTGAAAACAAATCCTTTCATTTTTCAAGAATTAATTATTCTAACTATAAGTTTTTGATATTTATTCAACTGATTAACTAGTTGAAATAGCGATTACAACTTCATTTTGAGCACCATGGGAGGACATCGCGGTCAAAGTTTATGATACTTTCTATTATGCACATTTGTTTTGCTTTTCGTATGATTCGAACTCTTTATCTTATGAACGAAACTCAGTAATTCTACTGGACCGTAACATGATGTTTCATCAAGATATTTCCATCAAATGGAACCGTATTCGGAAGTAATTAGTTCAATGAGAATAGGATACAGCTAATACAACGCGACTACTCACGTTATTGTGAAACGAAGCAGTCACAGAGGTTATCACAACTTGAGAATCTACATGTACAGCTCAACTAAAATAAATCTGATTTTTATTAGTTTTATATATCTCGTCTCAGGCACTTGAAGAAGCAAAAATTTATATTTCTTTCTGTTTAAATGATGCTTTAAATAGTTACTGATAGCAATCTTAACATCATGATTCGATCTAATAAGACTATCACATTTTATTTGCATGATATAAATTCATTATCGGAACAACTACAGTTACTTATTAAATCGAAAAGTCAAGTCGTTGTTTTAATCAGAAAGCTTTGTGTTAAAACTATGCAATTTTATCGAAATAAGACACCACGTTTTTCAAAACCAAAGTGCCAGATTTTGGCAAAGTGTGTTGTCAAAAAAATGTAAGTTTTGATTTTGATTAGGATTAATTGACTAATTGTAACGTTTCACGGTATAGAGAGGTCTCAGTTTACCAAAACGATTTTATTGTATACAAAACTGTGAAACGTCGTGAGTTTAAATCTTGTGTCTCATGTATCTACTACTTAGGGCATACTAAAAGTGGTGTCATCATTATCTTATTTCCATATAGAAAGCTTGAAGAAAATTTCTTTTTTAATGTAGTGATGGAGAAAACGACTCTCTATTTTCCTATCCTATTTGATCACTCTTGAACTAACATCATAATAATAAAATTTTGATAAGAGCTGTTTTTCTGTAAAATGTGGCGGTTGTGGTAATGCTATTTGGAAAAAAGGCAGAGGGAGTATTTTTTGAATAAATTTTCATAGAAACGAGATAGAAAAATCCAATTTTCACTGTTCGACAGAAAAGATGAAGATGAATTGAATTGTATATTATGAGTTTTCTAAATTTGTTGTCTGAAGTTTGTTTAGTCAATTTCCTACATGTCCGAAAAAAACTTTTTTTTTAATTAAAAAGCAAACAGCAGAAACAAACATGTCAACCGTACGCAGTTTTGAAGATGTTCTAGTGACGGTTTAAATGCACACCTCGCGAAATAGATTTATTTTCAAAGAGGTCGATTAAACACCTTTGAAAAGATCAGATGGAAAAAATCTAGAGCACATGATGCGATGCATCTTCATCTCTTCTTTCGAACAGTGAAAATCGCAGTTCTCTATCTCGCTCCTATGAAAATTTATTCAAAAAAATACTCACCCGGCCTTTTTTTTTCAAATAGCATTACTACAAGCGTCACATTTTACAGAATAATAGCTCTTATCAAAATATTATTATTATGATGTTAGTTCTAGAGTGATAAAATAGAACAGGAAAATAGACAGTCGTTTTCTCTATCAGTACATTAAAAAAGAAAATTTCTTCAAGCTTTCTGTATGGAAATAAGATAATGACGGCATTACTTTTGGTATCTTCTAAGTAATATTTCAAAATTCTGCTGATGTACAGATTACGAGTATATTAGGATCAGAGCTGCCACCAGGCCGGCCTGCCAGGCCATCGGAAAATATGAAAATCAAATCTGAGTTGATCCGTTTACATTATATTGAAGTAGAGTAAGTGACTAGCTCAGACCAGTAGTATTGACCCAATTCATCCTTTCTTTGTGTCAGAAATATATTTTATAATATGGGTTTTTACAGAAATTTGATGATAGATGCAAAGATTTCTCACACAAAGAAAGGATGAATTGGACCAATAATGCTGGTCTGAGTTAGTCTCCTATTTTACTTCAATATAATGTAAACAGATCAACTCAGATTTAAATTTCAAATTTTCTGATGGCCTGGCAGGCCGGCCTGGTGGCAGCTCTGGTCTGCATGAGATGAACAGAGTCCTTTTTATTGCTTGTTTCATTAAATTTTGTCCGACGGAAAGCAGCGTAGTTTATCTCATTATAGGGCTAGACTGTACTCATAAACTCCTCAGTACCAATTTATCTCATGCAAATGAAACTATGACAGAAAATAGAATAATATCGGCAAAATCTAATCAAATACTTTTGTATCCTATAAGACTTCTAGCTATTTTAGTTTAAAGTTTCGAATTCTAGTGTATGAATTCAAGAGTCATGATTAGTATGTCATATTTGTTCGCTACATATTATTCATTCTAAATTTTACTAAAAGCAAATTTCTGTTTTCTTCGTCTCTTTGAGAAAAAGAGTCAAGTCCACGATTTCAATGTGTTAAAGACAGGAGTGAAATTTTTCAAAAGTTATTTATTTGATTCTTTGACAAAACTAGACATTTGAAATACTATTCATATTATGTTCATTTTTAGCATTGTGTTTTTCGACCATGGATGAACATTTATGCATTGATGATGATCATGATGTGCCATCATTCACCTGTCTCATCTTGAATTTTCTGATATTTGCATATGCTCGATCTTCAACTCGACGCATTCAATCGCAATCTGTATCATCACAAGTGAACACTGGCAACGTTCAACAAACGAAAATTAGTCGTCGTGATTTGCATCTACTTCAGCAGATGATCTTCATGTTTTGCATATTCGCTGGTGGATGGACCTCAGTCTACTTGATTCTAGTTCTACGCGACTCAATCTTTATTTCGCCACTAATTTTGTCTATATTTTCGGCTTTTGTCACATTGTGCTTATTGGTGGATATTATCAATCTGTCTATGTACGATCGTAAACTGAGACAATCCTTAAGCGATAAAATTCGGCAATATATTTGAATTTGACAAAACAATTTTATTATAAATTAATCATAAAATATTAATAGACTCATTTACAAATCATCATTAACATATTCTGAATCATATATATTTGTACTATCTATTAGATGTATACAAATAAATAAATTGAGAGCTGAACAATATTCTCCAAAAGCATGAAATAGTTCCATTTCAAGCAGAAATAATTTTTTAAGAAACAACATCACTTATATAAAGTCATTCATCTGTTTCTATCCTCATAACCAGAAGTAAACATATTCTAGTCGAGTATTAAATTGCAATTCAGTTTTAATCGATGTTACCAATAATCAATCAACAGCTAGATCATCTGAATCTTAATTTATTTCTATTACAATTAATATCAATAGCCTGTAGGTGTGAATAGTGATGTGAAGAGAAAACCTGCACCAACATTCACACACCTACCGGGTTGTCCACGGTACGGCCACTAAGTATGACAATCACAGTAAGAAAGCGAGAATAAAAATTTTGCTGCTCACATACTAGAAAATTATGTTCAAACCCTTTTCGTTTGATTTTTTTCTGAAGAAGAATCATGAGAACGTGTCTGTTTTTGATACAACTGACATTCTTATTTTATTAATGCATTGTTATTATATATCAACTAACGAGGGAAGTACCCAAACTGTTTAAAAGCTTTTGAGTTCGAACTTTGTGCATAATGTAGACCCCAATGAGATATAGAAAATCTCAAAAGGACAAGTGCCCATAGGCTTTCTACGCAAAGTTATAGATGTTTTACTGAAATTTTAGCCTATAGTACTGTATGCACTAAAGAATCGAATGACGATGTTTCTAGCTGAAATTTTGCTCACAGATAGGCCTACTAGTAAATAGAATGTCCTGAAAATTTCAGCTCAAAAGAACGTTCCTTTCTCGAGATATTGAAACCCCCGAAAAAACATGAGGTTCTCGAATCTTTCGTGAAATATAACAAATTTTAGGAATTCGATATCTCGTGAAGAAAGCATTCTTTTGAGCTGAAATTTTCAGAACATTCTATTTACTTATAGACCTATCTGTAGGCAAAATTTCAGCTCGAAATATCGTCATTCGATTCTTTAGTGCACATAGTACGATAAGTTAAAATTTCAGTAAAACGCCTATACCTTTGCAGGAAAGACCTATGTGCACTTGTCCTTTTGGGTTTTTTTATATCTCATTGGGGTCTACATTATGCACAAAGTCCGAACTCATAAGCTTTTGAACAGTTCGGGTGCTTCCCTCGTAAGTAGGTCATTGAGTAAGTATCATCATGAATAGATGAAATAAAAGATTAAATTAAAAAATAGATAATAAAGAAATTATTATTGATGAACAATCGAAGATTATTGGTCATTATGATATCATTAATTAATACAATTAATTAGTTTCCTAAAAAGCTTCGATTAAAATAAAGAAACGAGCTTTTATGAAATAAAAATTCTATTTCTTATTTAAAACATGGTACATAATAGGACAATAAAGAATCTCTCTGGTATCTATAATAAATGTCATATAGATATAGATATACATTATCTGTTGAAGTCAGTATCTTTCTTGTTGTGTGTGCATTAGTTGGCAATTTTCATATTTTACGTAAATGATAATGCATATTCGTAAGTTAGACAAAATGTGTATACCGAAAAATCTCATATTTGTTTTTATTCCAGTGCTCATATTGTGCTTTTGTTTATCTGTCGTATCAAGCACAATTAGTCCTTGTGCAAAATGGAATACAACAGGGGCAACTATAGCTGGAACCGGTGAAGCCGGTAATTCTAGTTATCAGATTGATTCAGCCAAAGGAATTTTCATTCATAAAGAAAGAAATGAATTATATGTTGCTGATTTTAATAATAATCGTGTTCAAAGATTTTCACTAAGTGACCCATCAAGAATGGGTATTACGGTAGCATCTGGTATAAAAAATCCAATGAAAGTCTATGTTGATGATGATGTTAATGGACCAACTGTTTATGTTTCACTTCGATTTTTGAATCGTGTTGAAAAATGGATCAATGGAGCAACACAAGGTGTTCAAGTCGGTGATGAATGTCAATTATGTTGCGGTGTATCAGTTGACAAAGAGAAAAATGTTTATATGTCAGAATCCAATAGACATCGTGTTGTTCAATGGTCACCTCGAACAAATATGACGACGCCTGTTGCTGGAAAGACAGATACTAATGGATCAACAAGTGATCGACTAGATCATCCTCAAGGAATTTATGTCACTAGAGATGGAAGTATAATTTATGTAGCTGATATGTGGAATAGTCGAATTCAAAATTGGACACAAGGTTCACATGAAGGAACTACAGTAGCTGGATCCAGTCAAGGTACTCAAGGTCATGATCCTGGAACTTTAAATTTTCCAAATGATGTTATTGTTGACGAAGAAACTAATGTTGTTTATGTTATTGATACATCAAATCATCGAGTTCAACGATGGAAACCATTTGCAACCGAAGGTGATACTATAGTTGGTGACAGGGGTATGTTTTTTATATTATCTATATTCACAATAACGATTGACTAGTATTAAAATTTATCTTGTACTGTTTTTTTTCTAATGAAAGGTGCCGGTAATGCAACTAATCAATTACAGAAACCAGCTGGTTTAGCATTTGATATGAAAGGAAATCTTTATGTAATGGATATGGATAATCAGCGCGTACAAATGTTTGAATTAATTAATAATCGACCTTGTCTTCTGAAATCAACAGGTAATTATGAAATGTCTTATTCTTTAACACTATATTTCATTTTTATTCATCATTTTAGCAAATTCATCGATGCTCGGGTTAGTTGGATAAAAAAGTTTTCTTTACTATTTTATCAATATTATAGATCCATCATAATTACAATTATTCTTTCGACCCTATCATTCATTTCAATGATTCTTATTTAATTCTATTACATGGCTAATACATAAAGACATTTTATAAGGTTTTTTTTCTCACACAAAAATAAAAAGATGTAATCGACCTTTAGAAAATCTCTCAATTCTTCTCGCGATAATTATTTCTTCTAAAACTCGAACTGAGAAGTAATACACAAATTCATTTATATGGCTACAAACATAATCCGATAAGATATTGATATATTTACATCTGCATATATAATTTAAAATAAATATTTATTCTTTTGATTGAAATATATTATGTTTCCTAAATTTAATGACTATCCATTCGTATAATTCAATGTACTAAAGGATTAAAAGTCATGTAATAATTTCTCTGCTTAATATTGATATTCGTGGATCACGTAAACTACATAAGCATATTAATCTTTACAAACTATGTAATACTGATAATATAAATGAGCTCATCGATATTTTGAATGAACTTAAAAGAACTATTCATATGCACGAAACTTTATGGAATAAGTGTGTCTCCAAAAATCTTGAGAATTTCTTTGAATTCTTTTTCGCGCCTACGTGAACCACTTAATATTTCGAAATTACTAAACGAAAAAAGTATTATTACCAGGACAGTAATTGATATATAAACATATTCAAAATATATAATCCACTAGAACAATGTAATACTCTTGATTGGACCGAACTGTGTCGTATTGAAATTTCTTCAACACTAGAAGAGAATTCTGAAAAGAATGAGTGATGTACATGTTCAAACTTTTTGTGATGAAGACTATGATCACGATTTATTCTGGTCATAACCGTACATTTTTGGAGCATTTCGTTTTGTCTATTTGTAATGCGCCATTGTGTACATGACAGACGAAACTTTTATTTGCCAGATACGTGACTGCGTCCCAATAATTGTATAAACTATTATTCTTACTTGCACAGTTATAGTCTGATAATTTTGTAATAAAATAACTTATATTAAAGAAGAATAGGTTTGAATTCTAAATATACTTAAATGCTACACAGACATGTTGCTATATCAATGAACAAATACATTGGTGTCTTGTAATAAAAAACTAAATAAATAGTATCTGATATAGAATAGAGAGAGAGAGAGAAATACGAAGGAAAGAAGTGATATCATTATCAGCAAATGTGGCAAATATTAATAAAAAGATGAAAATTCGCTTTCGTTGTATCACTTATCAGCTATAAATTTTGACAGTCGTTCAATCCCCCATTGATTTTATTTGCCAACATAAATTACTGAAAGATTATTCCTTTTATTGTTCTATACACAAATTACTTTATGAAATTTTACTTCAGATCTATGATTCTGAATGTATTATTAGATTTTAATAACTAATGAAATTGCCAATTATGTAACAGAACAATCGCATAGCTATGATGAAGAAAACACAACAGAATGAGTAACTGACTTACTCCATTGACCCATCAGAGTTTATAACAATGTTGGTACTGTACAACAAGCTTCTGGCAATAAAATTTTGCAAAGGTATCAAGCGACGATTTCAAAACCATGATAACATCGATCATAAAATCATGGATGCAAATCAATTTAATACTTAGTCTGCTGAGATGTTTATATTGTTGCACTTAAAAAAAACAGTTAATCAAAATTTCCACACAAATTAAACAACATTTTAATTTCGTTTCTTCTTATCTCCAATGCTACATTAGTCAAACCTTAATAACATGAATAGTGTAGAACTCAAGACGATAGTGAACTCTGTTGACAAAATATACAAATGGATAAGCACGAAAAGAATGAGAAAAAGTATGTATGTGGAAATACAATTGATTAAAATTTGCGTCGATACCCATCGAGCTATTCCGTGATTGAGAATTTTTGTAAAGATCAATATTGATTTTTTCTTGTAAATGCTCTGTTAGAGAACGAAAAGATATATTTTTCTTTTTCTGATATAATTTATGATAATATTTTTTTTTACACTATGAAGATGATATATGACTCGCATATCTTCTATATTTGATCTTAATCGTATATTTCAAGTAACATCAATGCTTACTTTCAAACACTTTTTCACTTCACACGCATCCACAATGGCAACAGATAAACAAGGAAAAATTGTTATTAATTTAGCTGGTGATGTTATGATCGGTAAGATCTTGAAAATCGAAATTGAATATTTTAAACAATTTTTTTTTGGCTTCTCTATTAATTCTATTCAAGGTCGTTTAATTGATCAACTACTTCCGACTTCTGTTTATAATCCTGAAGAAGCATCTATCATCCGTCAATTTCGATTATCTCAAAGTTCACATTGTCCTTATTTACAAGAAGGTAGATATAATTATGCAACTGTTTGGGGAAATACGATTCCATTGTGGAAAACGGTAAAATATATCTTAATAGTATTTTCAAAAAGAAAATAATCATCATTTCATAGGGAAATTTGAATATTATTAATTTGGAAACATCTATGACTACTCATGATAAACTTTGGCCTGGTAAAGTTTTCAAGTATGTTACGAATATTATTTGTGTAATATTATAATCTGAAAGTTTTTTTTGTTCTTTTTAGTTATCGTACTCATCCTGCAAATATAGCTTGCTTAACAGCGGCAAATATTCATCATGTTTCTCTTGCTAATAATCATACTTTAGATTTTGGAGTAAAAGGACTTGAAGAAACATGTGAAAGTTTAGATAGATCTGGTATATCATATGTTGGTGAGTCTCTTTTATTACTCATATTTAGACATTTTTCTTGTTGTTCATAAATAGGTGCTGGTAAAACACGTGAGCATGCTCTTGGTCCAGTTTTTATTGATGTTCCTATAACATTTTCACCGATTGTTGAAAAGATACAACCTGTATTGATCAAGCCGGCAGCGCCCAGTTCTTCTTCTACATCACTTAGAATTGGTTTACTTTCAGCATCTGATCATCCATCAGATTGGTCTTCCATTCCTTCATTTCATCTTCTTGCTTGTTATGATCTTCCATTACTGTATGCTCAACTTGAACCTCTTATTAGTAATGCTCGTTTGAATTCTGATTTCGTTATTTTTTCTGTTCATTGGGGTCCAAATTATCAATGGATACCAGATAAGAAAATTCAAGAACTTGCTCGATGGATGATTCATCAAGGAGTTGATCTTATACATGGACATTCAAGTCATCATATACAAGGTATAGAAATTGTTCAACGTACAAATGGAACTCATGGTTTAATATTATATGGTTGTGGTGATTTTCTTGATGATTATGCAATTGATCAACAATATCGAAATGATCTTGGTGCACTCTTTCAATTACATCTATCAATATCACCTTTACCTTCACAAGATGGAAAGTTAAAATCAATCCGTCTTCAATCACTTTCTATTTTTCCTACACGATGTTCTAATTTTCAAGTTAATCGATTAAGTTTGCAAGATGTCGATTGGACATGGATAAAAGAAAAACTCGCTCAATTAAGTAATGTTGATAGAAGAATATGGACACTTGGTCAAAATGACGACATACAAATTGATATTGATACATAAAAACAAAGCTGATTAATCTTTCTAAGTGAAATAAAGTTGTTTTTTGTTAATTGTTTTATATAAAGCTTTTTTTTTATAATGTAAAGATAAAAATCTAATAATTTTTTTTTCTAGTAGCTACTCACGCATAAGAATTGTTCTTGAGTTATTATGCAAAATATCATATGTTTTCTTTTTGTAGAATTTTAAGATTTTTTTACGTATTAAAGTAATACACTTTTCTTTTTGGAAAACTATTCAACATAAAATATCCGAATATAGTTAATTTTTATTCAAATTAGATTTAAGCTAAAAGTAATTGATATACGTATCGGACAAATTGATTCTTTTTGCATCAGTTTTAATGAAAATTCTAATAGAATGAACTAAAATATTTGTCGTGAGATCACTAAGCCGAAATCAATAGGTAGAGAATTTCTTTAAGGTTTTTTTATTCTATGATGATATCGTCAATTAATATATTTATTATTTAACATGCAGACATTTTTATTATATTATGTTTATGAAGAGTATTGAGATTCTGATGTGTTTTTAAAATTTATTGAATTTTTCTACAATTAATAATCTTAATGTGTGTATCATATGTAATGTTAAAAGAATGATTTCCTATTTTTACTACTATATTTCTTAGATTCATACAGGTTACATTTGTATCTGTAGCTCTTAATTATTTTGTTGAAAAACATACGAATAATAATTTATTTCATTCGATTGTAAAAGTAAATTATTTAAATTCCGAGAGTATTCCAGAAGTTCCTGGAGAAGTTTACATGACTTATTCATAAGCAGTTCAAGAAGTTTATATACATTTTAAAATGGTTTTATGGTATAATTACATATAATCAAACAATATGAATCATTAGTATTGACTGACTGATTGCAACGACGTAGCTTCCAACACACCAAAACGTCTAATGAAACCATAATATAGAAAAGGAACTGATAAAAAACTATCCATCAACAGAATAAAAAATAAGTTCAAGCAAAGATAAAATCACCAATAACATCACAGCTGATATCATAACTTACTTTGTAACAAAAATAAGAGATTTTAAAGTCAATCTAGACGATTTTTGTATTTTTTTCATATTATCACACATGGAGAGTCACATATTCGTTTATCCTTTACACAACTTGATATTATCAATTACATATTAGCCATCAACCAAATTTTTTTTGATTTCTTTTTTCTTCTAAAAAAAGCTCGTAGTATCTATAACATGCAAACGAATCTCTATTGACACATAGATATCAAATATTTACATGAATTCTTCAATATCAATTCATCAGACCTTTCATCATATCACTGTCTATTCAAACTTTCGATAGCACAAATTCAAGAGAGGACACACACTCTTCTATCAAACATAAACTGATACACAATTAATTTTCGTCTGACATTCAATGATCTCTTGACAATATTTTTTAATCTGTGAAGAGAAGATGCACGATACATGAGTGGACTCTCTCAATATGACGGAAAAACGCACACATGGACAGTAGAAGAGTCTTCCATTTAAATATTGGGTTACGAAGACAGAAATCTCAAGAAAATAAAGATACTTCAGTTTCATTGAGATTCGCTTTTTCGAAGACAAAAGAGTATGCGATTCAGCTGTCATAATCTGGCTTCGCTCTTGCTCAGATTCTTATCAGGTGGCTCGATGGTGTGAATATATCTGGTATGATTATGAAAAACCTCACGATCATTATTATATGACAAAGAACAAGGGACATTCTGGGACTATTTTGCCACAACTAGAAAACAAAACTAGCTTGATGTAAAACTTTTAGTAATTCTTGAACTCAAAGTTATTAGTTACTCCCATAAGTTTCATTTCGATCGGTCAAACGTCTGCCTTACTTTGGTACTATTCCAGATAGGCTTCTTCGTCGCCTTTCTGAGTGCGATCGAACGAAGAGAATTACTCGTTTTCAAAAGAAAATCTACACGGTTTTACAGTTTTAAAAAAATGGCATTTCTGATGATGGAAGTGACATTTTTCTAAAAAGTATTTCAAAATTTTCATATTTTGAAAGCCTTTAAATTTGCATGAAAGTCATGAAATCAAAATGATGCAGAAGTAAGAAAATTAATCGAAGAATTTCAATTTTTTTGAAATAATTCAATTCATGAATTTTTTTTATTGAAATTTCTAAAATTATCATTTAAATAAAAAAGTTTTTGACCTTGTGGTACTCTGGCAACTGCACCAATAACTTCTAGGTGAAATCACAATTGATTCTGGTATATCTTCACCTTCTTATCATTCATAGGTCACAGCGATATATTCCATACCTATGATCTTCACTATTAAACTCAGAATTAGAGCAATTTTTTTAACATAAATAGCATTTATCAAGAGCTGCAAACCTATTAAAACAAGTGTCTGCAAAAAATATATATTCTACTATATATTTGAGAATCTTATTCTATCATAGTGCATCTAAAAGATCTGATCAAGATATATTAATTAAAAATAAAACAGTAAGGTATTCAATTGTACGTATAGAAAAGAATTACTTTCAATGCAAGACCGTGTATTGTAAGTTAAAGAAATTGATCATATTCGGGTCAAACGAATGTTCTCAATATCAAACTACCTAATTTAATATATGAGTTGCTTATAGTATGCACGAATCAAAATATTCAAATTTCAAAGTATTCACAGTCTATGCCATGTGTCCATACTACAAAATTTCAGCATTATTTATTCATTTTTTTCATTATGGGTTTATAGCATTCACCAATTTATATAAGATAAAAAAATCGCAGATATTCATAAGCAATTTTACGCAAAAGTTCAAGATACCATTTTTGTTAAATATAAGGATAATGGATACAAAATTCTGACTGTTATAAAGTTGCTTTTGAATATATGTGATATACATAAATACCTTGATATTCAAATATCTCAACCCTTGCAATACTATGGACACAAAAGAAATAAAAATAATTTTTGTAATAATAATAAATATGCAGATATCTCTTGGAGTAAGAATAGTTTCTCTTATCCTATCTTTTTTCTATACTTGTCGATCATTATCAACGTGTTTAATATAGAAAAAAGTTTATTTCAATAAAAATATATGAATGAAAAAATTTAACTTGAGTAAACCAATTTTAATATTAATTAGTTTCATCATCAAGTATTAAATCTTTTGATATCAAATAAGTTATATCTTTTAAACATCGATCATCATATATAGATAGCCACTTATATATCATACGAAATTCAATTTAGTGAATAATATCACGCTAGAAAATCATTAACTTAATCATATGTTCTTTTATTTAGTGTGTCATTAATTATATATAAGCAAATAAAGTTGAAAGAAATTTCTCATGATCATAATCGACAATAATTTTAATGTTTGGATTTTCACTTATAATTGATCCCCATTCTTTTGTTTTTTCATCCATATATAATTGAACATCTTTCCATTGTCCAATTGAAAGATCAATTGCACAACAAGCTGTTAATGGATCATGAAAAGCTTTTTCATTTTTCCCTGGTTTTTTTAAATAAATTGACATAACATGATAGATTTCTTGTAATGATTGACTTTTATCTTTGATTTTTTCAAGTTGTTTATGAGTATCTTTTGTATAAAGAACACCATGACAAACATTTTTTGAAACAAAAAATTTTTCTTTGATACCATTATAATCCAAAACAATTTTAGCTGCTTTTATATCTGCTGCTAAATTGAATGTTGGACATGTTATTCTTCCATTGAATTTACTCAATCTTTTTTCTTCCGGTACAATATTATCACCAGCAAATCCACCTTGTGCAACTAAACGACCAAGTTTAAATTGTTCAGTTTGAATAGCTTTAGCAACATTTTTCAATGGTCCTCCACAAATTAATATAGTTTGTTCATCACAATGTGTAAGAAGAACATCACTACCATCAAGCGCTTCTCTTGATTCTTCTATAGACGCATTTTCATATATTTTAAGATGAAATTTTGATAAAGCAGGTTTAGCATTCACATTAAATACACCAAGAGGTAAATCACTTCGTCCGAAGCGATCAAGAACATAACGCAAAAACCCAATTTGATCAGGAGTACCCGGAACAACTGTAACAGCTTTTAGATGTACCATTGGATGTCCAAGAAGAAATAGAAGAGTAATAAAATCATCTGGATCACTTGTTTCCATATCAAATACAACTTGTAGACGACCATTTATTAAAAAATCATTGGAATGAGAAATTGTTGAATCAGAATTGCTGATTTTATCAACGGTTGCCATTTAATAGATACGCAATTAAAATACAATTATTAAAGTTCGATTGAATTGTATTAATAATTTTAAACAAATAATTTCATTTATGTTACGAAATTTTCAATGCTATAGCGACATAAACAGAGTCTAAATAATAGAAAATATTTCGTCACGATCAAATCTTTCTTTTCCTTACACGCTTGATTATTTTTTTTATTTAGTATTCTCTCGTTACATGTCATTTCTTCTGTTCTGTACATTATATGACTCATCTTGAACAAGAAAAGTTATGCAATAAAATCGGGTACTTCTACAGTGTTTTTTATGAAAACCAAATGAAGTTGTTTTATTAATAATATGAGCAATTGTTTCAATGAAACACAGTACATTGCTACCATATCCAACAAATAGCTCCATATAGTTTCTTGAACAAAGTAATGAAGAATTTAAAATATTTCTTTGATTGAAAAAAAATAATATTTCGTATCCATAAAAGATTTAACACATTCAACGCGATGCGATTTTCTTAGAAAATAGCTTAAATATCTTCATTTTATTGTGCATTCATCTTCTGATAAATGCAATTGTTGGACTTTTAAGTATGTGTTGTCAGTTGTTTTTCTTTTTCTTGTTTGTATCATTACATATGCGGTCCTCTTGCACATCAAACTGAATAACTACTCAAGTTTGTTTATTTTTCTTATATATATCGTGCAGTAGTAACAAGATAGTGAAAGGACGTTTCGACTTTTTTCTTTTGCAT